GTTTAAGCCACCCAGCAAGATTTTTATTTTTGTTATTACAGGTGATGAATGAACAATGCTAGTTTGAACTGTGCGGGTCCACAGATATACATAGGACGGTGCTGTAAACATATTTTATCTTCCTTATAATGTTTTAATACCATATTTATTCCTGTACCAACTTTATTGTAAGAATATAATATATAATTCATACACACAATATATGTTAATCAACTATGTTATCAGTAAGGCTTCTGGTCAATAGTAGGCTGTGAGTTTTGGGGGGAGTCAAAAATTCTATGCAGATTTTTTTGACTGTGCAGATGGTTGGTGCCCCCCAACCCCCACATTGTTCAAAGGTCAACTGTATATTGTTTGGTTGTGTGATTTCCATTTGGTCCTCCTTTTTATGACTTCTGTTTCTTTACTGAGATTTTCTATATTTTCATTTCTTTCAAGAGAGAATTTTTAATTGCTGTTGAATCCTATTTTTGATGGCTGCTTAAAATCTTTGTCAGATAATTCTAATAATGATTCACCTTGATGTTTACCTTTTGCCAGATGTTATATTAAGTTTCAGCAATCCTAAAATGATTAAGATCTCTTCTCTGCCTGGCAGGGAAAGTAGAAGAAATGAATAGCTTTTGAACTGAGATTTCCAGAGGTTAAGGCTCAGGCCCTGGAGCTCCAGCTCTGGCCACTTACCAGCCTTGCAATCTCTAGGCTTCAGTTTTCTCCCTGAAAATGGGGATGGGGTGGGGCGCCTGGCTGGCTCAGTCATGGAACATGTGACTCGTGATCTTGGGGTGGGGGTTCGAGCCCCACGTTGGGTATAGAGATTATTTAAAAAATAAAATCTTAAAAAAAAAAAAACAGTGGGGATGGTATGGAAATAGTACCTGTCTCATGGGCTGTGTGAAGGTTGCAAGAGAGAATCCTGCAGAGGGTCTAGGTCACTACCTGGTAGATAGAACTGTTAGTTTATTGAGAGGGTCCTCTTGTCATTTTCCTCTGATTCAGAATTTTTTTAACTATCAGAAAAGTAACACTTCTCATCACAACCTATAACTCAGAGCCAGTTCTTTTTCCTTCTGGCTACAGATTTGCAACATAAGTAACTGAACAAAATTTGGACAGCAAAGGAAGATTTGCAACTTTAGTTGAAAATCATTGGCGTTCTATTTAAGAAGTGTACAGTAAATTATGACCTGTAGAGGGGAGAGTCTCCTTACCAAATTGGAAGCAGAACCTCCACAAAGAGCTGCAGGTAAAACTGTCACTGTAGGACACTGTCTCAGGAAGCTTTGGGAACTTTTCCATTTTTCCAATTAAAAAATCTAGTACATGTATCGATCCTATTGATATTATTCCACTTTAGCCATGAGACAATAGTTCTAATGATGTAGAAAAGATGTTCTATATTATGTTAAGCTGTAAAAAATGGAGTCAGATCATACACAGTATTCCTCAAAAGGTTAAACATAGAGTTGCCAAAAGACTCAGCTGTTCCAGTCCAAGGTGTTTACCCAAGAGAAGTGAAGACATCTGTCCACATGAAAACCTATGTGTGGGGCTGATGGTGGCACAACAGTGTTTATATCCTTGATGCCACAGGTTACATACTTCAAAATGGTTTAAGTGGTAATTCTGTGTTATCAATATTTTACCGCAATAAAAAATACGAAACTTGTGTATGAATGTCCACAGCGGCTTTATTCATAGTTGCTGAAAAGTGGACACTCACATGTCCATTAGCTACTGACTGGATAGAGTGTGCTGTGACCACACAGCGGGATGTTCAGCCATGGGGCAAGGGATGGAGCCCTGACACAGACCACGTGCAACCCACGGACCTTGACAACATCATGCTTATGAAGAAAGCAGACACAAAGGCCACATATCATGTGATCCCATTTATGTGAAGCATCCAGAACAGGCAAATCCACAGACAGGAAGTAGATCAGTGGCTGTCAGGAGCGTCAATGGATGGGTAAATACACTCTGAAACAGACAGTGGTGGTGGGCGCACACCTCAGTGAGCATACTAGAAACCACTGAAGTGTGCAGTTTATTTTCTTTTTTAAAGATTTATTTATTTATTTTAGAGAGCGTGTGCAAGCAGAGGAGGGGCAGAGGGAGAGATGAGAATCCCAAGCAGACTCTGCTGAGCGCGGAGCCCAAGGTGGGGCTCGATCCCACGACCCTGAGATCAAGACCTGAGTGGAAACCAAGAGTCAGACATCAACTGACTGAGCCACCTAGGCACCCCTGAATTGTCCACTTTTAGGTGTAAATTGTATGGAATGAGAATTATATTTTAATAAAGCTTTTAAAAATTAAACACAATATTTCAACTACATAAAGAAGAAAATGAGAGACTAGAAATAGATCTACTTACATATATAATTTATATATATATATAAAACAAGGGTTGATGATTTTGTACTAGTAGATGGAAAGATGATCATTTTATTGTCCACTATGTATATTTTCTTTATAATTTGGGAAAACCTCTTCTAATTTTGATAACCAGGGAAAATTTTATAGTAAACAAACAAGACATAAAATTAGTGGTAATGTTAATATGAATGTTGCCTCTTTATTAAGCTGTAGTCAGAATTTTTTTTAAACATTTATTTGAGAGAGAGCACATGCGTGCCCAAGCAGAGGGAGAGGCAGAGGGAGGGGGAGAAGCAGGCTCCCCGCTGAGCAGGGAGCCCAATGCGAGACTCAGTCCCAGGACCCCCGGGATCATGACCTGAGCCGGAGGCAGATGTTTCACCGACTGAGCCACCCAGGAGCCCCTCTAATCAGAATTAATCTTGATCTTTTCTAAAGGAAAGAATTAATGTCTTCCAAATATTTCACAGTTAAATAACAGAACACAGAGACTATATGATAAAAAATACTTTTTTTTTTTAAAGATTCTGTTTATTTGTTTGACGGAGCACAAGCAGAGGGAGCAGGAGAAGGAGAGGGAGAAGCAGGTTCCCCACTGAGCAGGGAGCCCGATGTGGGGCTGGATCCCAGGACCCCGGGATCATGGCCTGAGCTGAAGGCAGACGCTCAACCATCTGAGCCACCCAGGCATCCCTAAAGAATACTTTTTAAAAAGAGTGATATAAATTATTAAATCTTGCAAGATCATGAAAATTCTAGAAGAAAGTATGGATGGATTTGTTTATAATATTGAAGATGGGGGCCCTTGGCTTCGAGTAGAGCAGAAATTCCAGAAGCCATAAAGGACAGGAAAAGTGATCATTGCTACTGTATGAAAGTTTTATACTGTGGGTATTTAAATATACCTGCACGTATACACATACACACGTGCTTGTAAATACACATGTGTGCACACACATGTGCACATGTGCTCTGAAATGTGCAGGTACACATTTGGTAAGCAGGCCAAAAACAAATGGGAAAAATATTTGTAAACACATCAAAGAGAGTTAAGTTTCTTTACTTCATAAAGATCTACAAATTAGTGAGAAAACTTTGAATAGCCCAGTTAAAAAATAGGTGAGCAGCGAACCTAGAAATGAGCAAATGGAAGATGCTCATGCTGCCACATAAGGCAGAAGGCATCTTCTACCCGTCAGACTGCAGACCCTTAAAAGTGGGGTGATAGGGCGCAGCTCCAGTGTTCAGGGCAGAGAGGTGAGCGGAGTGTTTGGGGGGGATGGTGAGCAGTGAGTGTGTGAGCGGTCACCAGAAGGGCTCTGGTCAGGTAAGTGTTGTGCAGAGGACTGGAGTAGGGTGAGGAGTGGCGGACAATGGACGGCCACGTCAGGTTGGCAGGCCTCTGAGTCGGAAACACAGAGGACACCATGGGGTGGCAGGGAGCCCCCGAGGTGGGGGCCCGGTGCACAGGTCCTGCCGCCGGAGGAAAGGTGAGCCTCCAGAGAACAGAGGCTGCTGTGGGTGCGGGAGGGGGCAGTTGCACTGGGCCAGGAAGCCTGGGCTCGTCTGGTATTGCCAGGGTTGTTCTGGCCTCTGGAGCATCACGAGACCAATTAGGTTAGTGCAGCCGTGTGGGGAGGTGACGGCACCTCGGGGAGGGGTGCGGGGTGCCGGGCCCAGGGCAGGTACCGCATGACTGGGGTGGGAAGACTGGCCGGGGAGTGAGGTGGACCCAGCCTGCTTCGCTCTGTGCAGGCGTGCCAGGGCTGCAGACCCCGGGTCCACATGCCTGCCTCCCTCTTGGTGAACCCGCGTGGAGCCTTTCCCCCACGTGATCAGTCGTGTGGCACAGCTGCTACTTCAGGCTTTGACTGCAATGATGCATTCTCTCCTAGGAATCAGATCTATATTCTTCCTTTGGGAACTTTTAACCAGAATTCTAGACTAGTTTCCTAAATATGATGGAAAACTAAGTTTTTAAAAACTAATTAAATAATATGTATACTCATTGTAAATACTCTAAGCATGCAATAGTGCCTTTCTTCTGAAAGTTTTTGACTGTGATCTTAAGAATACGTTCTGCGAGGTAAATAGCATATTCTGAAAAGAGCTTAGGACAGAATCCCGTTCTCTGAGACTAAGGCAGTTAAGTTATCTTCCATAAAGAGACACGAAATTCGGAGTTCTGGCTTGGCCACGAGGAGCTATTTTGCTGCAGGTCGCTGGGGTTCTGTCTCCGTGCCTCCAGTGTGGAGCCTGCAGGGTGACACTTGCCTCAGGAGGAATTCCCGGTGGGCGTTAGTTCCTGGTGAGGGATTTTGTTACCAGTCACGGAGCTGTTTGAGCTGCAGCCAGGAGTCCTCATACCCTGTAAGATGTGTTTGTTTCACAGCTGACGGCAAAGCAGCCAGCTTCAATATTTGATCCAGATAACTTAAATTGAACCAAGTTACTTAGAATTAATGTGACTGGTAGGTTTTTAGTGTTTGGAAATAAAAATGTGATTTGGGAAATTTGTTTTGTAACATATCAAAGAAAAATGAGTGAAAGCCCATTTTATGGGGTGTTAGTTAGGGAAATGTGTTTTGGAGGTGAAATGACATTTGTTTCTTCTCTCCTAGTGTTGTCATGGAGACCCTGCGGATCCTGGCTTTGGTCGGTCAGATTCTCTTCTCACTAGCTGCTGCTTTTCTTCTGTGTCTTGTTATAAAGACTTACCTCATTGGACCATATTATCGGAAACTGCACGTGGAAAGCAAAGGGAACAAAGAAATCCTTATCTTAGGAATCTCTGCTTTCATCTTTTTAATGTTAATGGTAATTCTCAAAATACCCATTATTTATATACTCTGACTTGTAATCTGTTCGCTGAAAGCTTATGATCCGTTCTTTATCTTTTTATTTCAATAGTAGTTAAAATATTTGAAACACACAGTCGTATTTTTATTTTCTGCCCAGTCATCACTCTACCTGCTCAGTATTAGTACAGTAAGCTAAACTATTTGCTCCCATACTTTTTTTTTTAAGATTTTATTTTTATTTACTTGAGAGAGAACGAGAGAGAGAATAAGCGGTGGGGAGGAGCAGAGGGAGAAGCAGACTCCGCGCGGAGCAGGGAGCCCCATGCGGGACTTGATCCCAGGACCCCGGGATCATGACCTGAGCCGAAGGCAGACGCTCCACCGACCGAGCCCCCCCAGGCGCCCTGCTCCCACCCTCTTACGCACTTTGCTGAAGTGGCACTGCAGGTGGTCTGGGTGGCCTTGAGAGCCACATGGATTTCCAGCATCACCAGCATTACACGGTCTTAAGCTTCCAAACGACTCTGGATCTGAAGTCAGAATAATAGTTTAAAACCATTTTTAGTTCTATTTGATAAGGACAAAGCTGGTCAGCAGTGTAACTTCTTTTGCCATAAGGTAAAAAGTTGAAAATGAAAATAGAAGGTTCCTTTTAGAAGCAGCCTTCTCCTTATTTAAAGGATGTGCTTCTTGTGAGAGAATGGGGAGTGCTTTTAGACCCCCACAAACAGTTCATGGTGCCAGCGTCACCCACAGCCCCGCAGCTGTGCTGCTCACCACGGGCCCCAGAGAAGTGAAGACGGGTTTACACAGAAGCTCACGTGTGAATGTTCACAGCAGCTGTATCCATAGCAGCCAAAAACCACCCAGATGTCCTTCAGCAGGTGCCTGCTTCCACCAGCTGTGGTCCGTCCACACCAACGAAGACCACCCAGGTTTAAAACAACTAGTACATGAATCTCCAGAGAATTATCCTGAGTAGGAAAAGCCAGTCCCAAAGGTTGCATACTGTGTAATTCCATTTATGTGACGTTTATGATGATAAAATTTCAGAAATGGAAGATTGCCGGTTCCCAGGCATTGGGGGCGGGCGGGGGGATCGTTGTGACAGAAAGGTGCACGTGTCTTCACTGTGTTGTGTCCATATCATGGCTATGATCTCGTGCCTGACTTAGCAAGATGCTGCCATTGGGGAAGCCGAGCAAGGGGTACATGAGATCTCCTTGGATTGTTTCTTTTTTTTTTTTTTTTTAAAGATTTATTTATTTATTTGAGAGAACGAGAATGAGAGAGAGAGAGAGCACATCAGAGGGAAGAGGGTCAGAGGGAGAAGCAGGCTCCTCGCTGAGCAGGGAGCCCGATGTGGGACTCGATCCCGGGACTCCAGGATCATGACCTGAGCCGAAGGCAGTCGCTTAACCAACTGAGCCACCCAGGCGCCCTCCTTGGATTGTTTCTTACAAGTGAATCTACACTTAGCTCAAAATAAAAAGGTTAATTTTAATTTAAAGGAAAGTGACAAAAACTATTTCCTCGTATATGTTGTATATGATTTAATTGTCTACTAGTGTTTTATAATCTTGGGAGAAGTCTAAGATTTGCTTCTGCTCAAAGCTGCTCATGTGTGACTTATTTAATTTTTTTTTACATTGCTTTAGCCATTCTGGAGTATTTTTCTCTTTGAAAATAACATCTGGCAAAATTGTGTTGTCTGGATGCCTTCCATGCTGTCTTCGCAGCAGCTGCAAGTTCAACTGGTTCTGCATTCGTGGGTTCGGTTTTCCTCCTGAGCAGCTGCTAGGGTCCCCGCGTGGTAGGTGCTGGGCATCTGCTCATCAGATGGTCTTAGAGCTCACGCACTGCCGTTGCCTGAGGTAGTCCCTGGGTGTCACGGTTTGTCCTCTCTGTGGTTGGATATTAGGGTTGGTTCCCATTCGGGGCTCTTGTGAAGAAAGCGGCTGTTCCCGCGCTCCCATATGTTCACGGGGGGGCGGGGGGCGTAGGAGTCGGCTCACTGGCCAGAGGTGTGCATGGGACAACTGGTAACGAGCCGTGCCCACCCCTGGCGCCGTGTGAGGGCCCGGGGTCCCTGCACCCTCCCCTGCACTGGGGCGGTTTCAGCCGCTCTGCTGGGTGCTAGCGGTGTCTCCTTGCGGCTTTGACTCGCGTTTCCCTGTGAGCTGTGTGGACACCTTCCTTGGAGCTGGCCTGTCAACCCTCAGGTCATTTTCCTTTGGCTTGGTTATTTCTCTTACTCATTTGTAGGAATTTTTTATATATTCTGACAAATTTGTCTTTTTCTTTTTACTAAAATGAAATTCCTGTAACAAAATCCGCTGTTTAACCCTTTTAAAGTGTACAAGTCAATGGTTTTCAGCACGTTCACAGCACCGTGCGACCATCACCACAGCCAGAACATTTCTGTCACCCCCCCCCCGAGACCCCGAGTCTCCCAGTCCCACCCATATCCCCCATCCCATAGTAACCGCTCCCCTGCTTTCTGTTCTCACGGACTAGCCTGTGTGCCTGCCGCTCTGATGCGGCGTCCCGTAAAGGGCCATCCATGCGGGCACGTTGCCGTACTGGCTCCTTTTATGGCTGATATTCTCTGTTCCATATATTTTTGATAATATTTTCCAGTCTGTGACTTTTCACTCTCTTCATGGCATTTTTTAATAACCAGAAGTTCTTAATTTTCATGTACTCAAAGTTTCGAATTTTGTATGGATAGTACTGTTTCGGTCCTGCGTCGATCTTTGCCTCCCCTGGTCCAGAGGCACCCGTGTCGTCCTCTGGGACATTTTGCTTTGCTTTTCTCATTAGATCTGTCTGTCTGGAGGCATGTAGAGCACATGGCATAGGGCTGTGGACACGAATCCGTGTTACCACGTGTATCTCTCCACACCACACTGGGGCACAGGGTCACCTTGTCCGAAGCCAAGAGGCGTGTGAGTGCATGAGTGTGAGCGCAAGTGTGCATGAGAATGTGGGATTGTGTAAGTGTGCTTGCATGAGTGTATGAGTGTGAGCATGAGTGCATGGGTGGGAGCGTGCATGTGAGTGTACGTGTGCTTGTGTGTGAGCACAGGTGCGTGAGCACAAGTGTGTGAGTGTGAGCACAGTGTGTGGGTGTGAGTGCACGCGTGCTTGCGTGAGTGAGCATGAGTGTGTGAGCGTGCGTGGGTGTGAGTATGCATGTGAGTATATGATTGTGTACGTGTGCTTGTGTGAGCGCGAGCACGAGTGTGAGTGCGAACGTGCGTGAATGTGAGCACAAGTGCGTGGGTGTGAGTGTATGTGTGCGTGAGTGAGCACGAGTGCATGAGTGGGCATGAGTGCGTGGGTGTGAGCGTGCATGTGAATATGTGATTGTGTACGTGTGCTTTCGTGAGTGTGTGAGCACGAGCATGCGAGTCTGCCTGTGTGTTTCTGACTCTCCACTCTGTCCCCTCGCTGGCTCACCTGCTTTTACAGGTGGTGGTGCTGTGCCCAGCAGCCTTCTCGGTCCAGGTTGTCTGGCTATCTTCATAGTCTTTCCAGCATCCGCGTGGGGTTTTGGATTCAGCTTGTCAGTTTTCACACGCCACTGCAGGGACTCAGGGCCCATGGGAGGAGAGTTGTGCATTCACGGCTGTGAGTCTCTTGCTTGTGAGTGCGTACTCTGTGCGCCCTGGCTCTCGTGCCTTTTCTCAGCAGAGCTCTGTGGTATTTGGTGTGATGGTCGTGCGTTCCCTTGTGGGACTTGTCCCGGGTGCTGGGTATGTTTTGGCGCTGTTGTGAAGCGTGTTTCTTTAACATTCTTTCTTTGGCTGCTGGCTTCTGTGTGTAGTTTTACTTCCTCAGAATAAGAAACACCTACTTCTTTCAAGTTGTTTTGTGTCAGTAACACCTCGTGAAGAAGTCCACCCGAAGCTTTGCATTTAACAACTGTCATTAGAAGCCCAACAAATCCTGACTTGCACCACGTCCGGGCCGCTGAACATGCTGGCGCTTCCCTCTGGGGTCCTGTTCTCTCTGGGCATCGCTTGTCATACTGTCCGCTTTCTCTACGTGCTTTCAGGTGGAAACGGGGACAGTTTTTACATTAATACATGTTTTATTGCCATAGTTGAGCTATTCACTGAATCAAGGTAAAGAAAATCTACCACAAATATTTAAAATAAATTTTTGAAAATATTGTCATTCAAAACTTTGATTGTTTCAAATATTTTAATTTTTTTTCTCCCTGTACGGCAGATTCAGCTAACGTTCGCTTGCTGTGCGTGTCCCAGCTCGTCCGCACAGTGGCCCCTCTGGGGACTTTGAGATGGGCCTTTGCTGTGATGGCGCCATGCCTTTGGGCGTGAACCCGCCCCTGGCCAGAGATGTCGCCGGTGGCACTTGTGAGTGACAGGCGGCCCTCCCCTCTCGCCCAGGTCACGGAGCTGCTGGACATCTCCATGGAGCTGGGCTGCTTCCTGGCCGGAGCGCTCATCTCTTCCCAAGGCCACGCGGTCACTGAGGAGGTCGTGTCTTACACCGAGCCCATCCGTGACTTCCTGGTCATCATCTTCTTCGCGTCCATAGGTAACCCCTCTCATTCACGTCAGGACGCTCACGCGGTGTTTGTGGGACGGATGCACGTGACTTCTGTGACCTGTTTACATATTTCTTTTTATTCAGCAAGAACAGTTCCATAAAAATTGGGGTCCGCAGAGAAATCTTACTGAAAAGAGGGAAAATGTGCACTCGGGGACACTAACTTGTTGATCGGTGGCCGTGCTCTGGGGGCACTCAGATGCCCTCGGGGAGGGTGACCCCCACTTTCGACTCCATGGGAAACGTATAGATGCCCAGCAGGTTAGCAACCTAAAGTCAGCACCAAAATGGGACATTTGGGAGGAAAGGTTAATTTTGATACCAAAAAGTTAAGCTGCTGTGTTGAGGTGTACCGCTGTGTAAGTGCCCCTGCGTCGGGTGCCCCTCCACCTGGCACATCCATGCACCCTGCTGCCCTCCACCCAGAGTGGCCACCCAGCAGGCACCACGCCCACACTCGCTGACGCGCTTGGCACGGCCCCAGCGAGCCCGAGAACGTTGAAGAGCACAGGGCAGCCGGTCCTGAGAGTAGAATGCAGAGTGGGGAGACCGCCCATCACCAGGCGGGATAAGATCCTTTGCAGCTGCGTTAGCGACAGGTGTCCGCGGTGTTCCAAGAGAGAACCTTCTCGCCAACACGTGCCCCTTGCTCTGCCCCCTTTCCTGTCCGTCCCCTGCCCGTCCCTTGTCCTCTGTCCTTGCGTCTGGTTCTGTCTCTGTCCCTCCTGCCCCCTTCCGTCCATCACTTCTCCAGACGAGGACCCATGAGGCCGACAGGGGCAAGCTCCCTCTGACTGGGTCCCAGGCCACGTTCCTCCCGGGGCCGAATCTTACTGACATGCGTGTGGCTCGTGTCCTGCATGTAGGGCTGCATGGAGTGTGTGCTGGTTAGAAATGAAAATCCTGCAGACATGTTATGTAACAGACAGGCTTGCCGAACTCTTCCTCAGGTTAGGGTTCTTGACCTGCCAAGATCAAAGATGTCTAACGAGGACAGAGCCGTATGTGTTTTTGCTTTTGTTCTTCACACTCAGCATGCGAAGGGCGTTCAGCTGAGAAACATGTGCACTCCACTGCTTGGGACAGAGTCTTTCTCCTTGGGGTTCAAAGCAACACAGAAGTGGTCTGTTTGAGACGACGCCTCGGGGATGTGCCCATGAACCCGGTCCCTGAGCCCTGCCCTGTGTCAGGCCCCGTGGAGCCGGGAGACTGTGTGGAGGGCCCACTGGCCGCAGTCAGTCCCAGGCAGGGGCAGTGACCCTGGGGTCCCAGCACCACAACGGGGCCACTGAGGGCCCTGGCTGAGCTCTGAGCAGTGAGAGCAGTGTGACCAGCAAAGGGCAGTTTGGGGCCCAGAGTGAAGGAGGGCCCCCCACCGGGGGGCTGAATGCAGAGGCAGCAGTGGCCGGCACTGGCCCTGGAGGGCATCAGGGTGGGGATTCGGTGCAGGTGGAGGGACCCTCAGAGGGCAGCAAGGCCCCAGGCCCATGTGGTGGTGGGCGGCAGTGCAGACCCTCAGCCCCCGTGTTCCTCCTGCTAGACCAGGCGTCGCAGGCTCTGCTCCTCATCACGATCAGCTGGTACCTGACTTCATAAATCCCATGTCACTGAAACACCACTGTACCCATCCCTTTGTGCTGCATTTTTTTTAAGATTTTATTTGAGAGAGAGTGAGCACGTGTACAAGCAGGGGGAGTGGGAGAGGGAGAAGCAGGCTCCCCGCGGAGCAGGGAGCCCGACGCGGGGCTTGATCCCAGGACCCTGGGATCATGACCTGAGCTGAAGGTAGACACTTCACTGATGGAGCCGCCCTCCCCTGTGTTGTGTTGACGAGGCTTTTGAGCTGTGGCTCATGCTGCCAAAATGGATGCTGGTATGCGGGCGGCGGCAGTGCTGACGGAGCCTCTTCCTGGTCTGCAGATGGCCGCCTGCTTGCTGGGTCCCCATGTGGCCTTTCCCGGGACACAGTGCACTCGGGGACAGACACCCGGAGACAGAGGAAGGGACTCCCGTGTCCCCTCCTCTCCTCATGAGGACACCAGTCCTGCTGGCTCAGGCACCCACCCCGTGGCCTCTCGTCGCCCTCAGTACCCCCTGGAAGCCATCTCCAGGTGCGGTCACACGGGCTTGTGGCCTCAGCACCTGAACTGGAGGCAGCGCGGTCGTGGCAGCTCCAGAGGCAGAAAGGAGTGGGGGCGACCGGGCCTGTGTGGCCCCCACTCCATCCTGCACAACCACAGCGACTAATCTCCCATCACTCCTCGTCTTATGGATGAGGCCAATCACGTGATGTTTCTTGTTATAGACTTTTCAACAAGGATTTCATCCTCTCGGATCCCCCTTCCTGGGACACAGGAATTCTGAAGTGGGCACTGCCCGTCCTCATTCTTGGAGGCGCCCTGGAGGCTGTCGTGGGCCCGTCTGGGGTGTGATGGCTCACGTTGACACCTGTGGGCCTAGTGCACATGCGAGGTGACTGTGGGGCTAGTGATTATTGACAGACCGTGTGTCACGTTCTGCTTCCCACGTCTGCAGAGAGAGGTCAGGAGGTGTGCCAGGGTCCATGCTTTGTTCGTGGTGGACCTGACATGGGCGTGCAGAGCCCGTGTCCCAGGGACACGGCCGGTATCTGTTGGGAGGACGAATGACTGAATGTCCATAAGCAGGAAAACTACAGCGGCTTGTGTGCCTCTTATCAGAAGTGCGTGTGGCAGGTGCGCCAAGGTGGATCTGTGTACACGGTGCTCTGCTCGCCGCACGGAGGTCCAAGTGAGCAGTGTCTCCACCCTCAGAGTGGAGAGCCTCTGCCGTCTGGCCTGTGTGCTTGGGCCCGGCGCACGCTTATCCTCGGGAGAGGGAGGCCCCTGAGCTTCGAAGTAAGTCAGCGACACAGCTGTCAGTGTGCCTGGTGGGGAAGCGGGCGGGCGGGGGCCACCGTTCCCCAGGCAGGTCCGTGCAGTGGGCTGGGTTGGGGATGTGTGCACAGGAGCGCCCACACTGGTCACTTCCGACTGCGGGTGACAGCGTGACGAGCTGGTCTGCACCCATAGTGCTGGGGGATCGTCAGGGCTCGGGGCATTGCAGGTTGGGGAGGTGGCCGAGGCAGACTCAGGAAGAGGGACATTGCCAGGAAGGGGGTTGGGGTAGGTGCTTGTCAGCAGGCCCCCACAGGCGGATGCTGCCGAATTCCAGGGAAGAGAAGGCTATCTTGTGAGCACAGGGGTTCTGGGGTTTGTGTTTCTGAGTCAAACAGGTGTGTCCCTGCCCCAATGTGAGCTCCAGGTGCCCTCCCTAGAGGTGTGGGGCTGGCCGCTGAGCGAGGAGGGGCCCACCAGCACCCACCCCTCCTCCCTCGTCCCTGGCACGCTCCCAGTAGGCACTGACCGCAGTGGGAAAACCGTTCTCGGTGGTTTCGCCGGGGCAGCAAGCAGCCGCGAGTGGCCAGGCTTCTCCCCCCCTTGTTTCCAGGCCCTGGGAGGTGTCTGCACCTCACACAGAACGTTTTCACAAAGGAAAATCACTTAGCCGCTGCCTGCCATGCCATTTTGCCAAGTCCTGGGAGTGAAGTCTGGTGGAGGGTGGCCCTGGGCACCCGGGCCGCTGTCCCTGCGGCGAGCCGGCTCAGAGCCACCAGCAGCAGGGGCCAGTGTGAGCCAGACGGGGTACCCTCATTTAGGGCAAGGACAGAAGGAAGCCTGAGCATCGAGGACTCATGGTTGAGGATGAGGCGGGTGTGCCTGCGAGAATGACCCTGTCTGTCCTTTCCCTAACAGGCCTTCACGTGTTCCCCACTTTCGTAGTGTACGAGCTCACCATCCTGATGGTCCTCACGCTGTCGGTGGTGATCATGAAGGTACGGATGCTCCTCGGTGCTTCGCTATTGGTACAATTCCTGTCGTTTTTGGTTTATGTGTCACAGAGCCTAACTTTCTCCCCATAGGACGCTGAGTCCGCAAAGCTCCAACAGCACCACTTAGCCTGAACCCCTCTTGCCTCCCAGCAGTCTGGGGATGGGGCGGGGTAGGACCGGGGCCTTTGGGTTTGTTTTCCTTCATTTGTCTCAGAATTGGGTATGTTTGAAATGGGAGTTACGAAAGCTGGGCCAGGAGAAGCGACTTCTGGACGTCCCGGGAGGCCCCTGCACTTGGGACGTTCCTCCCGAGCTCTGCTAGCAATCTGCGCTCACGTACAGTTCGTTGTTTATACGTTTTGAAGTTATTATAATACTTTTGCCCACTAAATCAGTGGTTTATTATAAAAGGGTATAACTCAGGAACAGCCAGATGGAAGCGATGCCCGGGGCAGGGCGTGGGGGCAGGCCATGGGGCGCCCGTGCCTGTCGGGACGCCTCACAAACGTCCAGTTTAACAGCCGCTGAGAATGACCTCATCGCTGTCTGTCCTCCATGACTGCAGGTGCTTGAGTTGCCTGTGTTAACATTCATTTCAGGGTCTGATTGCCTGCTCAGTAGCTGTCTGGCTTTGTAGATTATAAAAGTTGACTTAAAATGTTAGTTTTTTTTAATTGGGGTGGGGAGGCATAGAAGGAGAGGGGGAGAGAGAATCTCACACAGCAGATTCCACGCCCAGCATGGAGCCCAATGTGGGGCTCGATCTCACGACCCAAGATCAGGACCTGAGCCAAAACCAAGCGTCGGACACTGAACCGACGGAGCCATCCAGCCGCCCCTGACTTAAAGTACGACTGGAAGGGATCCGAATCCCTGATAATTGTTGCACTTGCCCCACGGGTTCTGGACCGCTCACCTCTAGATTTTGCTTATGTGAGAGAGCTACAGTCCTCTCATTAGAAAGTAAAATGTCCTTCTTGAGCGCTGCCTGCTACCTACTGCTGTTGACTTAGTTTGGGGGGAACACCTGGCTATCTGCTAGGGAACCTGAACCCTTGATTTCACGTTGTTCGGCGTGGTTTTCTGTCCCTCTGTGTCCCTTTGGTGCTTCTGTGCGTTTCCCCAGGGTGTCCGGCGAGGGCTCCCGTCTGTTTTCTGCTCGGCCGGCAGGCTTGGGCGAGGTAGTAACGGGCCGCTCTCGCAGTTTGCTCTGGCAGCTCTGGTCTTGTCCCTCCTCCTGCCGAAGAGCAGTCAGTACGTCAAGTGGATCGTGGCTGCGGGGCTGGCGCAGGTCAGCGAGCTCTCTTTTGTCCTGGGGAGCAGAGCGCGCAGAGCTGGTATCATCTCTCGGGAGGTGAGTCCGCACGCATGTTGTGTGTGTGTTCGGGGAACCCGGCCCGCATCCCCCCACCCCGCCGTCTGAGCATCCTGCCCGCGGCTGCGCAGCTGGTGCAGGGCTGGCGCTCTGCCTCTCCCCTGGCGCGGACGACTAACGTCATTGTTGACGCTGCCCAGTCACCTCACGCGTCTGGTGGAAGAACTAAATCTTCAGGCGCCCCCGCTGGTTTTTGCACGGTCTTCCTGGGACCGCGTCTGTGAGCAGCGCCCCCGCTCTCGGGTCTGACCCCCGAAACCACTGAAAAGGCAGAGCTGGAATGTTGTGAAAGTCCCTCGTTTGTTTGGGGTTTTTTCACAAAATACTTTGCAACGTTTGCCTTACATGTAAAAGGTGAGTGTGGGTTGCTGTGACAAGTGCTTCTGAAGACTCCGTGTCTCCAAATTTCAGGGAGTTGGAGCAAAAACTTTAATAGGACTATGGCAGGGCTTCCTGTGTATAAAATACACGGAGGTTTTTCCTGAGTATCAGTATATACCAAAGTTTGGGGCTTCTTTGATCAGCTCCTCCTTCCCCCACCACAGCTTTAAGCCTGCAGGGCGCTGGGCCCTCTGCGTGGCGCCTGGAAGGTGAGCCGTCCGCCCCCCGTTTGCCTCCTTCCCCTCCATCCTGGGCCTGGCTTTCTTGCATGCCGGGTGCACACACCCACCCCCCACGGCCGTGCACTTGCCTTGTCCTCCTCTCTAGTTTTGTTCGTTCGCCCTTTGAACTAGAGCGTGATGAATATCGTCTGATGACCCCTGGTTGTCACTTTACACTTGACAAGCAGGACGTTTGTGCTTGGCGGTGACCCCCACCCCAGGGGTCAGTGAGCCACAGTCTGTGATCCACTGTGGTAAGAGCTAATGTCCTTTAGAGCAGGGCCAGTGTGAGCCCTCAGTGAGCTGAGGACCGGTGATGTCACTGTTTCAGTGGAAGCAGGGTGGACATTAACGGGACTCTGCTGTGGATAAATGGATAAATACCGGATCATGGTATAGGAGCAGACAGGAGACCGCACACGCTTTCCCCAGACTCGTAACCATGGGGACCAGCTCACCACACCCATGGTTCTAGCTTAGAAACAGGTGCTCTCAAATTGGGCGTTTGTGGACACACAAGCTCATGAATGGTAGTTTCTACTCAAACCTAACTGGATCCCCAGCACCCTTCTGCATCTGATTTTGTTTTGCCCTTTTTGTGCAAGTATGTGTGAATGTGTCGGGCGGGTCCTTGAACCCCGGTGGGGGTTTGCCTCCTGCCCCCTTACAGCGAGCATCCCTCCCTGGGGCACCCTGTTGCTGGTAAGACCCCCCACCACCACCACAAGATGCCTCCAATATCCGGTTCTGCACACCTGCCCCCTCATTTGGGCCAAGGGAATATAGAAGCTCCTCTTAGTGCATGGGACATGCTGTAAGCACTCAGAATTCAGTGCTTTTCCCCCGTAGCCATGAGTGTGAGGAAGACAGGATGCATCTCGACTGTGGAGAAATGATGGGTAAGGAATGATGTCTGTGCACAGGCCCCGTCCCAGACCTTCACTGAGGCCGTGGGGTGGGCCCGTGGGCACCAGTTTCTATCAGGGCCCGCATCTCCCTGCACCTCCTGTCCACAGGGCCACATGCCTGTGGCTCTGGGGGGTGTGCAGGGGCACCTCCTAGTCCTGCGTGTGACCACTGTCACCCTTACTTGTTGCAGGTGTACCTCCTCATCCTGAGTGTGACCACACTCAGCCTCTTGCTGGCCCCGGTGCTGTGGAGAGCCGCCATCACGAGGTGTGCACCTCGGCCAGAGAGACGGTCGAGTCTCTGAGGGCAGCGACAGGGATACACGGCTTCAGAAGTGCGACCCCTTCACCTTGGGGACAAAGCGCTCCGTGGGAGGGGCTCCCCGTCTGCCCAGCGTGCCGACTTCCTGCCGTAGCTTCGGGTCTTCCAGAGTAATTTATTGCATTCAGTTGATCATGCGCAGTATAAATATAACGCTGCATTTTACAGATCACCTTGACTGTTTTGCCTGGATGTGCCTTTTTTTCTGAAATTGTTAACTTTCTATTGTTACTTCATCAGTTCATGATTTTCTGGTAAAAAAAATCAGAAAGGTTTTTTTTATTTATTCAATTTTTGTGTTGTAATCTGTTGGTCAATATTTGTTATTAAACATTTCTGTGATATGAAATTTTAATTCTGGCAGTGAGTTTAGAAAGTTACTTTAGTCCTTACTGTTTTCTAAAATGACAAATACCTTCTAAATGTCTATTTGTTTTTATTACAATAATTTTAAATAAAACATTCATGTCAGTTTATTAAATATGTCATTCTTTTAAAATACTTGTTTTGAATCACAAGAATATGCATGCTTTAATAAAGACCATTCATGAAGAGAGGAATTAATTGAAATTTATTGGAATTTTTGTTAGATTTTCATGTTAAACTAATCTTTGACAATTTTCAAAAGTTAGGATGATTTGTACCTTGCCACATCATTCTCTAAGAGACCATGTTAATACGATGCTATTTGCAAAGCCTAAGTTGTAACTTTGATTTTTAAAGTATATTTTGGTTCCTATATGGCCCATTTCGGAGAACCCAGGGCTGGAAGGTCTGATCCTTACAGATTTCCCCGAGGGGCGCTGTGAGTGCAGTGTCCTGTCAAGATGGGCTTTAGGAGCCTAGCAGTCTGACCAGAGCCCTCACAGCAGAGGGAAGGCCGCCTTGTGCACGACGACGTACCGCAGATGTGCCCATGTGATTAACACTCTGTGGGAGGAAGCGAGCTGCCTCTGGTCCGCAGGAAATCGGCGGAGAAGTGATACAGCACTGGTTTTATTCATTTCTCAGCACATGAGTGCCCTTCCCTCCAAACCGCTGGGTGTGGACACATGGGCAGGACACTTTCTCTCACCTGTGCGTGCCCACCTTGCCCGGCAGGCGGAATCCGCGCGCGGCGGCCTCTGGGGTGCCTCTTCTTCCTGTTCTTTCATTTTGGATCCCTAGCACCTGAGGGCAGAGCCAGGAGCTTGAGAAATTGTGTTGAATTGAAGGAAACCTATTTGTGCTGACATAGTTTTCCCCAGAACACGGAGGTAGCATCACCATGAGAGAGTGCTGAGTTGAGACGCCAAGAGGACGCACCTCTGGAAGACCCCAGCCCCAGGACGAGGCCTCCTCACCTTTCGCTCACCTCTCAGGGCCCATCACCCACGCCCCTGCCACACAGTGAGGCCACAGAGCCCTCCACGGCCCTGTCCTCACTCTCCCCTCCTCATCCAGACTTGGGGAGCTCAGCTCTCTCCTCTCTGCCCCTGCGAGCCCCTGCCACTGCGGCCATCAGCGTTTCCTCTGTGTGCGGCGGAGTCCGGCTTCAATCGCTGGCCAGAGGAAAGTGTCCTTGCCAACCAGCCCCGCCGTGATGTCCTCACCTGGAATTTAAAACTTGGTGTCCGGTTTGAGTCTGTTCCTTGTGGATTGACATCTGAGATGCAGGGCTAAAGACAGAGGGGCGGGTGGGGACGCCACCTGCTGACAGCGAGTGCCTCACCCAGTCCCCAACACACGTCACCTGGGCGGTCACCCATCGTCACACCAGGAGTGCTCACCCGACCCCCAGCTCCTCCCGCCTCTGGTCCCCACGCACATCGCACGCATTCCAACGTGCTGGCGCCCTTGCACGGCCCTCCCCCTTCCCTGGGTCCGAGTCGTGCCCTAAGCCTCTGGGAGGTAGGTACCCGCATCCTTTGTGTCCTGGCGCTCTGCTGGGCGTGGGGAGCAGGATGGAGGCCTGCAGCCCCACGTGGAAGAGCTTCATTCGGCCTGAGGGAAGCCGGAGGAGGACGTGCAGCACCATCTGGCTGGAAGGTTGAGAGCCATGGCTGTTGGAGCAGATCTTCCGAGGGAGGTCAGTTGGGAGAGACGCTTGCTTGGTTTGCTTACGTGACAGACAGAGGAGAACATTCATGCATCACTGACCGTGAGCAGGGCCGGCAGGGGAGGGTGCAGAGTGGAGGCAGAGTGCACGGGATGCACCAGGGAACAGCCAACCACTCCGGAGAAAGCAGGCGGGTTGGGGGTGCCCAGAAGCAGTGCAGGGTGCTGGGCTAGCAGGTGCTCGTGGTCAGAAGTCAGTGTGTGAGGCAGCCTCCCCCATGGCTCCCGGGCCATGGGCACCTGATGCAGGGCAGGCGCAGGAGCCTGGGTGCCCAGAACCTGCAGGGCGCAGGTGCAGTGGGGCTGTGGTCCCGGGCGAGACCGAGACCCCCCGGGCTCGGGTATGTGACAGGTGAGGGGCACGCAGGTGAAGATGACGAAGGAGAGGCCAGGGCGTGCGGGCTCCCTAGGGTGGGCGGCTGCTCCGGTGTCCGACTCCGGGACTCCTGCCGGCTCCCCATCCCCCTGGGACATGGCCACTGCCAGCCCTTGGCCCTCGGCATGAAGGTCAGGGTGCCCCCGCCGCTCTGTGGCTCCCAGTCCAGACTGCCTACACCTGTGGGCCGGGGCCCCAGAGCTCTCTGTTCCTCGTGCCTGGTGGCAGCCCCGGCCCCTCCATATGTCCTTATTCATCTGGGGAGTCGCTGAGCCCGGCCCACCCATGGCACCCGGCCACACGCCGGCTCCCTCCTCCCCCTGGCTGCCGGGGGCCGAGGTCCACGGCTTCAGGAGGCCTCTTGCTGCGGCACCTTCGCCAGCACTGGGCCTCGAGGCTGGTTGTGGAAAGTCTGTGCCCCCTGCACACGAGACGGGTGGAGAAATCGGCTGGCCCCGTTTAAAATCAGCTCATCCAGACAGAGCGAGGCATGTCTTTCCTGAGGGCAAGTAGGGCCTAGTGCCCTGCAGGCCTCTGGCCTCCCTCGCCTGGCCAGAGTGAAGAGGCCTTTTGCTTTGCTTGCTTTAGGGATGGACCATGCAAGGGAGGGATGTGCTGAGGGGTCCAGCGGGCATGGGTCGAGGGCAGGGTCCGTCCCCAGCTGCTCCAGGAGCTCATGGGGCCTCGGGCTGAACCCTGACCCCCCTGCCTGGGGGGCCTGCCGACACCTGCCTTTGAATGCAGCGTGAAGAATCAAAAAACATGATGTGCACATTATGTAGAAATTTGGGGTGAACGTGCCTGGGGGAGGGCAGGGGCAGGCCTTTATTAGGATGAGCCCGATGCGCCCACATCCCACTTGCTTGCTGTGAGGATCCTCGCTGCCTTTAGAAACCTTGCCATGAGCTGTTTCTCACATGCAGGCCGCGTCTGCGTGGGTGTGGTCGCCACAGGAAACTGTCACTGCTGGGACGCCCCCCCCCCCCCCCCCCCCGCCCCAGGCCCCTCGCCCTGCCTCCCCGGCCCTTCAGAGCTCACCGCGGTGCTCATTTCCTTCTCTGAGGAGCCGTTAGGGGCGCGAACGCTTTCACAGAAGCACTGCGTCCTGTGGTCTTTCACTCAACCGCGTGTTTCTGACTCATCCTGATGCCGAGTCTGAGGCAGACATTCTCACCTTCTGTGACCATCCCTTCCATGAAGACGCTGCAAAGTGCTTCTGTCGCCAACCGTGTCCCAACATTGTCACCACGGAACAGTTTCGGAGGAAAAGGCAGGGGTTCCTCACATGCGGCCTCGGGGTCTTTGACTCCTGCAGGTAGACACAGAAGCATTCCTGTGCACCTAGAGGTGGGCCCAGGGGTGGGCGCCCAGGTGTGTGTGCCAGGTGCTTCTCAAGCAGCACGTTAGCACCTACCTGGTGGCGGTCAGCCTTTGTCACCTCCTCCACAGGATGCTTGCGAGCCACAAAAGATTCTCTGACGGCCTGTGTTGAGGCGCTAGTCCCAGGGCAGGGGTGACGTGGCGTAAGGAGCGACCCGAAAGCGCCTGACCTGTGGTGGGTGTGGCTGCGTCACAGACGGGTCTGGGGGGACGCCCAGTGGCGTCCATGAGTCCAGGACGACTTGGGAGCTGTCCACCCAGCACGGCTCTGCCCAGACGGAGTCCGGGTCCCATCGGTCGGGACTGGGGCCTGAACATGAGTGTTTCTAACACATTTCCAGGCAGGGCTGGTGCTGCTGGGCCAGGAGCACCCGGGAGACACAGCCGTCCAGCTCGTGGTGGCCCTGGATGCGCCTTTGCTGACTGGACACGTGAACCCAGATGGTGAAGATAAAGGCCTCCGAGCCAGGAACAGAGTCTGGAACAGAGCCGCTGCAGCACTGGGCTCCGTGGATCACTGAGTAGCGTCTCTCCAACAGCTGACTCTGGTGGAGGAGGTGTCCCCTGGAGTGGATCATGGCCATGGGAGCACAGCCACCCAGCCAGGAAAGTGCTGTTGCCGGGCCTTTGCTTCCATCATACACATGTGTGTGGTGGCCAGAGTTTGAAACCGCCGGTGTAAGGGAAGAGGGTCCAGGAGGGCAGAAAGCAGGTGCTTCCTTGGCCTGCTGGGGGCCATGGGGGCGCTCAGGAGACCCTGGCTTCCAGCAGCTTCGGCCCCAACCAGGCGCCAGGCGGGCACCACCGCGGGCGTCCAGAGCAGAGAGGGAGGTTGGCGTGCTTCTCGGGGAGTGCCTGCATGTCCGTCCGGACTGGGGTACTGGGGTGCAGGCTGCACACTGGGGGAGTACCAGTTGTCCATACGAAGCAAGTAACGAATCTCTTTTAATGTAACCAGATTATTTCATGATTCATGAATAAAATAAAGTGTGGAGAAATGACCCAAGAACTTAGCGTGTGAGCACAGGGGAGGGGAGGTGGGCGCGGGGAAAGAAGAGAGCATTTACAAACAAAGGGGCATCGTTATTTCAAAATGAGGAGTGTCTGAGAGGGAGAACATCACATCAAGCACTGCGCCCTAGCTATGGGGCGGGTCCTGCAGCCGTTCCCTGGGGGATGTCCTGTGGGAGGCGCTTTTATGGACTTGCTGTTACCTCAAACCCGCTTTAGGGATCAAAGCATTGTCTCAGCATGGATCCCTCACATGGGGGGTTGGACAATATTTTGAGATGTGTTTCCTCCCCTAAATTACCTTTTCTTCCCTCAAAATGGACTCAGAGTGGATCATAATAGTCCAGAGGACAGAACTAGCCTGCAAGTCTTCCTGACGTTTTACAAAAGCCCTCCAAAATTTGGAGGGTCCACCAAGAAGGTAAAAGGAAGGTGAATTTGCACATCAAGGTGGAGGTTGGAGAGCCGCCCCACATGGGCTAGAGGATGGGACCCAGCAGCCTCACGAAGGACCCCACGTGCCCGTGGAGTCATGGCCATGACCTTGCGCATCCTGGGTGGAGAGGAGAAAACCCCAAGAACAAGAGGAAAGCCCCCAGGAGCCCAGCGGATGGACACTGAGGCTGGACATAGGCCGGCTGTCCCAGGATGCCATCTCTCAGCCCTGGGACCATGCACCACGCTCCTGCACGGGCA